GAGTCTGGTGGTACATATTATGTACATTTTGTACAGAAAGTCTGGTGGTACATATTATGTACAGAGAGTCTGGTGGTACATATTATTTACACTCTGTACAGAGAGTCTTGTGGTACATATCATGTACACTTTGTACAGAGAGTCTGGTGGTACATATTATGTACATTCTGTACAGAGAGTCTGGTGGTACATATTATGTACATTCTGTACAGAGAGTCTGGTGGTACATATCATGTACACTTTGTACAGAGAGTCTGGTGGTACATATTATGTACATTCTGTACAGAGAGTCTGGTGGTACATATTATGTACACTTTGTACAGAGAGTCTGGTGGTACATATTATGTACATTCTGTACAGAGAGTCTGGTGGTACATATTATGTACAGAGAGTCTGGTGGTACATATTATGTACACTCTGTACAGAGAGTCTGGTGGTACATATCATGTACACTTTGTACAGAGAGTCTGGTGGTACATATTATGTACATTCTGTACAGAGAGTCTGGTGGTACATATTATGTACAGAGAGTCTGGTGGTACATATCATGTACATTCTGTACAGAAAGTCTGGTGGTACATATTATGTACATTCTGAACAGAAAGTCTGGTGGTACATATTATGTACATTCTGTACAGAGAGTCTGGTGGTACATATTATGTACATTTTGTACAGAAAGTCTGGTGGTACATATTATGTACAGAGAGTCTGGTGGTACATATTATTTACACTCTGTACAGAGAGTCTTGTGGTACATATCATGTACACTTTGTACAGAGAGTCTGGTGGTACATATTATGTACATTCTGTACAGAGAGTCTGGTGGTACATATTATGTACATTCTGTACAGAGAGTCTGGTGGTACATATCATGTACACTTTGTACAGAGAGTCTGGTGGTACATATTATGTACATTCTGTACAGAGAGTCTGGTGGTACATATTATGTACAGAGAGTCTGGTGGTACATATCATGTACATTCTGTACAGAAAGTCTGGTGGTACATATTATGTACATTCTGTACAGAAAGTCTGATGGTACATATTATGTACAGAAAGTCTGGTGGTACATATTATGTACATTATGTACAGAGAGTCTGGTGGTACATATTATGTACAGTTTGGTGAGCCGCCTTCCGTTTGAGTATGTAGAAGCCAATTCTGAGGACACATTGAGCAAGCTTGACTTTCTGTGTATATATAAAACACTAATTATCAACAATGAAAACATATTAAAAAAGATATATATACATTAACAAAACATATTAGAAATACCGTCAAACACTTTAAAACGTATGCATTATGTATATTTTCTCGTGTTAATTAGTATCTTTTCGAACAGTATTTCCGACAACACAACCTGTTTACATATTTAAAAACTGTCACGGTTTAAAGACTGCGCTTTATCACCATCAAAACACAAACGGTTTGTGGAGCGAGCGTTCACCGTTTTAGGCAAATTAAAAAGTCGACATCACTTTAGTTTTATTTGCTAAAAATGATAGATGAAATGAACGTTTTGACGATCATTTGTCTGATGAAGATGTCCGAGAGCAGTCACAGGTACATGTCTAGGTTTGTACATGTTCAAAAGCCTTCGTTCACGTTTTCAAATAGTCATCTCATTCGGAATACCCCAGTATTTTTTGGTGAATATCCTGTTGAGAACACTTCCTATCAAACAAACACATATATATAATAAGATGCTTGCTAAGAGCACCCAGATCACACATATTCACACATACATTGTGTGTTGATATCATATATGAAACACACGCAATTGAACACCTACACGTATTTAAATCACCTGGCATCTCGTTATAACACGAGTATGTATTCGGAACACCTCCAGTCAAACGTGTTTTCTTGTGTTTGGTGGTATGTTACTATGAAACTGTTTTACACACCAACTCACCACCACCACAAGAACATGTTTTCGGGACATTTTCTTTATTAACGATTCATTGAACAGATATACATTTTCGTAACCTTAAAAGACAAAAAAAAGTCACTTGGTCGAACTATTGTAAACATTTTTAAATGTGTTTAAATATGATTGGGAGAGAAGTCAACGTTTTGGCTTCTCTGGTTAACAGATTTAGTAACAGAAAACAAGGTTATGACTCAGGGAGATGAACAAATTTGTGACTAGAATTACAGTTAAACTACCAAATCATAGCCATTTAACCAACAAAACGGTGAATGAAAAAATTATATCAGAGTTCAATTTCAACAATCTTCTCATCAATTCTATACAATTTATATAAGTAATTACCCTTTTTTCCACCCCGTATATATTGCCCCTTTAATAAGGAAGATATTATATAATAATTACCTTTTTTCTACCTTGTATAAACTGTCCGTTATATAAGGTAGATATTATATAATAATTACCTTTTTTCTACTCTGTATAAACTGTCCGTTATATAAGGTAGATATTATATAATAATTACCTTTTTTCTACCCTGTATAAACTGTCCGTTACATAAGAAAGATATTGTATAATTAATTACCGCTTTCTACCCTGTATAAACTGTCTGTTATATAAGGTACATATTATATAATAATTACTATTTTTCTACCCTGTATAAACTGTCCGTTATATAAGGTAGATATTATATAATAATTACCTTTTTTCTACCCTGTATAAACTGTCTGTTATATAAGGTAGATATTATATAATAATTACCTTTTTTCTACCCTGTATAAACTGTCTGTTATATAAGGTACATATTATATAATAATTACCTTTTTTCTACCCTGTATAAACTGTCCGTTACATAAGAAAGATATTGTATAATTAATTACCGCTTTCTACCCTGTATAAACTGTCTGTTATATAAGGTACATATTATATAATAATTACTATTTTTCTACCCTGTATAAACTGTCCGTTATATAAGGTAGATATTATATAATAATTACCTTTTTTCTACCCTGTATAAACTGTCCGTTATATAAGGTAGATATTATATAATAATCACCTTTTTTCTACCCTGTATAAACTGTCCGTTACATAAGGAAGATATTGTATAATTAATTACCGCTTTCTACCCTGTATAAACTGTCTGTTATATAAGGTACATATTATATAATACTTACCTTTTTTCTACCCTGTATAAACTGTCTGTTATATAAGGAAGATATTATATAATAATTACCTTTTTTCTACCCTGTATAAACTGTCTGTTATATAAGGTAGATATTATATAATAATTACCGCTTTCTACCCTGTATAAACTGTCTGTTATATAAGGTAGATATTATATAATAATTACCTTTTTCTTACCCTGTATAAACTGTCCGTTATATAAGGTAGATATTATATAATAATTACCTTTTTTCTACCCTGTATAAACTGTCTGTTATATAAGGAAGATATTGTATAATAATTACCGCTTTCTACCCTGTATAAACTGTCCGTTACATAAGGAAGATATTATATAATAATTACCGCTTTCTACCCTGTATAAACTGTCCGTTATATAAGGTACATATTATATAATCATTACCTTTTTTCTACCCTGTATAAACTGTCTGTTATATAAGGTAGATATTATATAATAATTACCGCTTTCTACCCTGTATAAACTGTCCGTTATATAAGGTAGATATTATATAATAATTACCGCTTTCTACTCTGTATAAACTGTCTGTTATATAAGGTAGATATTATATAATAATTACCGCTTTCTACCCTGTATAAACTGTCCGTTATATAAGGTACATATTATATAATAATTACCGCTTTCTACCCTGTATAAACTGTCCGTTATATAAGGTAGATATTATATAATAATTACCGCTTTCTACCCCGTATAAACTGTCCGTTATATAAGGTACATATTATATAATCATTACCTTTTTTCTACCCTGTATAAACTGTCTGTTATATAAGGTAGATATTATATAATAATTACCGCTTTCTACCCTGTATAAACTGTCCGTTACATAAGGAAGATATTGTATAATTAATTACCGCTTTCTACCCTGTATAAACTGTCCGTTATATAAGGTAGATATTATATAATAATTACCTTTTTTCTACCCTGTATAAACTGTCCGTTATATAAGGTAGATATTATATAATAATTACCGCTTTCTACCCTGTATAAACTGTCCGTTACATAAGGAAGATATTGTATAATTAATTACCGCTTTCTACCCTGTATAAACTGCCGTTATATAAGATTTATATCATGTAAGTGCTGTACCTTCTACCATCATGTACTGCCGTCATCGGTAAAAGAGTTCTTTCGTCCTTTCTACTGCCTTTAACGATAAACTAAGAGTTTCTATCCTATGTCTACTGACGTTATCGGTTTTACTACGATATATTTTATAAGAGTGCTCTCCATTTGTTATCGGTACAGCAAGACACAACAATACTTAAGCTAACTTTTTCATCAGTCTTTCTTTTTCATCCCTTTTTAACTGTTTTTGTTGTGACATACATATATTTTGTACTCGTTATATCGCTTTTGTTTATTGTTATTTCAATTTATTTTTATTATTTTTTTTGCTGAAGACATCAACATCTATAGGTACCTGCTGACACATTGTGACATATGAACGTGGTTCTAGGTTCCTGAAGTTACTGATCTGAAATTCTATTTGTCGATAATACTTAAACATTTCGTGGACAATAGCAGGGTGAATCGTAATATTAATTTTTTAGAAATGATCACTAGAAACAGTCCAAACTATTGTATCGACTTGTGCAGGGAGCGTGTTATACTTGTCTTATCATTATTGTCCCCATTGCGGTCTAGTATCCTTCTTTCCTAGTTTTTCGGATATATTACGGATAACACATTTAAAGGACGGAGAAACAGATGTGATTTTGGCGTTGCTGTTTTTTATAGTACATGGTTTTCTGTAAGGCCGAATTCACGGATTGTAACAAGTATATATACGATTTGGAGGGAATAAGAAAAACAAAAAGCTAGTAAACTGTAGAGTTGTGAGAACAAAAGACAATACAGTGTATATCTCACTGGTTACAGCAACGTCTCTCCGGCATAAGCTACCCCGTCGTCCGACCGGGCTTTATCACTGTCCTGACCGCTGATGTCAAACTCAGAATTGACAATAATCATATCATTCAGCGACGTGGCTTCTGGGATTTTTTTGAAGTGCTTATATTTAGGTGATTTTCTGCCCGGAAAGTTTTTCAGTGTTGCATGACCGTTCATATATGTATCTATAACCGAATCACATGATTTTCTTTTTTCCTCTAACAATGAGATGGTCCCGTATCCGTCCTCTTCCGAATTTACAGTAGCTGTATCCTCTCGGAAAGGGTTATTCACGCACGTGCTCATGCTGTTTCTGTACCTGTCACGCTCCTCTTCCTTAGTTCCACGTGATCGCACGTGCGTGTAGAAAAGTGTAAAGTTGTTTGATATAACAGGAATGGTAAGTGCTATCATTAATACACCACTCACGGCACAAGCGGCCCCTACAACGTATCCGATTGGTTTAGTAGGAAATACGTCACCGTACCCTACCGTAGTCATAGTGATAAGCGCCCACCAAAATCCCATTGGAATTGTGTTGAACTTATCGCTTGGTTGAACAGCGTCCTTTCGTTCTGCATAGTAAATCATGGATGCAAATACAAGCATGCCGATGATGAGAAATATAGCCAGCATGAGCAGCTCCTGGACACTGGCCTTGAGGGCATAAACTAATATCTTCAGCGCCTGGTAGTGTTTTACAAGATGCATGATTCTGAACATTCGCACTATTCTTAGCAAAAACATTATTTCTATCACCAGTCTTTCGTTCGCATAACATGATTGTAAAGTGTCCGTGTTGAAGACAAGTTGCATATAGAGCGGAACTAACGCTAACAAATCTATGATATTCATCATAGAACGAACAAACTTTATTTTTTCTGGAGCGAAACAGAATCTGATAGCCAACTCGATTGTAAAATAAACAGTGCAAATGATGTCAAGGATATTGAGGGCCTCGTTCTGAGTCATGACTTGCGCTGTTGAGCCTCCGCAGCCTCCTGTAGTATTAGCACTAAAAGTGATGTTTTTCAACGGCTTTTTTAACATTGGAAGTGACTCCAGGCAAAACCCAAGGATTGAAACCACGACAAACAACAAAGACACGACGCCATACACCTGAAACAATAAAACAACAATTCTGACGACGGGAAACTTCTTCAAACATAAGTAAGTGTACATTTAAACATAGGACTGCATTGATAAGGCATTTATAACATCATAATGCGCACGCTAGATATATATCATTAAACAAATCATACATAAAAAATACATGGATAGTGTCTTAAAATATAAGTTGTATTTTGGCAAGGGTGAAGGAAGACAAAAGCAGCGAGCCTCTGGAGAGCCGCTTTTGTTTTCCTGTTCAATCTGTGTTTACTTGACACTGACGTAACGCTGAATTATGTGCATCCCAAGTACATAAATCTGACCGCAGGTCACTTTCGGTCCTGTATCAACAAGCTGACCTGTCCGAGGTTGTTGAATTTATGTAAGAGACCTTCCAAAAAAAGTAGTGTAACCCTGGTTAAGTACTAGTAGCAATACATCGCCCGGCCAGAGATTACTTCCCTTTAGGTCGATCGATTGAGCGTCAGACTAGTAAGCCAGGGGATCCGGAGTTCGAATCCTAGCCGAGGCATTGGCATATGTAATGACCTCTGTTACAGTAACATTACAATAAAATTTGCCTTAAAAAGTTTGTCGACCAATTTGTCGGTCTGACAGTTCACATATAAAACCCGTTACCAACACTACCTTTGTGATAGTTTTTCACTTACTGACAGGAGCGACATCCACATATAATTTCCATTCCTATGTTTATAAAATCACATCACTCCATGATACGAAAACGATCATATTTCCGTAGTAACACTGTCGCTTTGTGCGGATTAAGAACCGCATCACTTCTTAATTAGATATTCATGCGCAATGAACTGCTTTAATTCCAAACAAACGAAGAAAGTAAAATGCTTTAGTTATGAGGAACTTTATGAACGATTGCATACTTATCAAAAATGGATTTGTATGTTATTGCATACGATTGTTGTTTATGTTGACACGAGGAACTGTATTTCGGCTTTCTTTGATTTGAGCTTGCTGACGTCATTGTTTGGTTAAGCAGGAAATTCAAACGTGATTTTTGTTTCAGATACGAACATTTTCTATGAATATTGAACTGCTATTACATGGTAGTATACAGTCTATAAGAATACAGTTTGGATGACAGATTAAACAGATAATCGTATTGCCCGTTCCCTGTCACCCAAATGACATTCATATCAATTGTATACTGCCATCTGGTAACAATTCATCGTTGAAGTATTGCCGAACAACCCCGTTTATTTTATTGGTTGATTTGTAAACTTGACATCACTGTATACGACCCAAAACTTACCATTGCCACACGGGATGTTCGCGGGTGTTCCAGGATCAACCAGATTTTCATCTGTAATCTCTTCCATCCTTCGTACTCATTTATGTTGATCTGTACTCGTTCTTTTTCCAGACTACGGTTGAAGGAGTCGAGTATGGCTTTGTTCTCAATGTAGGAACGGTAATGTCGCCAACAACAAGATTTGATGCAGTACTGGTTTACCTGCCAGTAGTCCAACTCTCGCTTCACCACAGCTCCACATACTTCTAACGGAACGTGAAGTTCTCCTGTCACAATAAAATGAGTAGAACATTAGGTAGCCATGGTCAACCGTCGTCTATGTTTGGCTGCAAATGTCAAAACACTTCAGTGAACATGTTATGTGTTGAACTTTCTAACAGTGCACTCTCACAAATTTTCTCTAAACACAAACGCTTCTGTTCTGTCCATACGTCTCTCTCTCTCTCTCTCTCTCTCTCTCTCTCTCTCCCCCCCCCCCCCCTCTCTCTCTCTCTCTCTCTCTCTCTCTCTCTCTCTCTCTCTCTCTCTCTCTCTCTCTCTCTCATTCCGATCAACTTATATTTTTACTTCAAACATGGTACAGTGATAAGGATCTCTCTGTTAATCAAGTTATCCGTATTATCCGTAGATATACTTTGTAAAGGTGCATATATTTTATTTTGTAAGTGCGTATAGGTCATATGATAATGTAAAACTCATAAAATACTCTCAAGTAAAAACAAAACGAGGAAGTGCAAAAGGCTTGGATTTTGTAAACACATTTTATTCTGAATCGAATAAATAGTATAACAGTTGCTGATTTTATGTTTACAATGCTTAAAAAAACAACGTAACACAAGTTTTTTTCGCAAATTGTCACTTGAAATTTATTCATAAAGTGAAATTTAGCATCCCATTAATAGGTCTTAAATCATGTAGTAATAAAATATGTAAATATGAATGCAGAATAATGTGATCAATAGCGAAACACATGGTGATTACATCAATGCATTTAATGGTTAATACTAAAACAAAGCATTATTTCACTGGCAATGATTCAATGAAATAACATCCAACATTTTGTTTTGCTTAATGCTAATTTCCAGCTAAATCGTTCTTTTACCTGGACACTATTTTTTTTTCCCCCTTTTTTTTCATTGTTGCGTTGATTGTATATAACATACATTAAAGTTCGTACTTATTTTTCGTAAGAGGAAACTGGTCTTTTCAAGATTAAATGCATATTCCTACATAAAGTTATAAAAAAGAGATTAATACAGTAACTAATTAAAAGAACAATTACATTTTGCGGTAAGACATTCTAAAGGTGATATGCGAAATAATCGTTGTTGCATGTTATCCTCAATACCATCACACTGCAGCTGGTTAACGTCACATAGAAACCAGAAAGACATTAATACAAAAAAAAGGTTAAACGCAATCGTAACAGAGAAATTTTGCTGTGTATTAACAATGAACGTTCGTAAATCTACACCAATACTGACTACAAGGTTTTAATTGTCATTGTTGGAGATGAACTTGCCACTTTGTGTGATATCCAAACTGGAATTTAAAAAAAAATAATAAAACCAGATATATATTAAGGACTTTTCTATTAAATCAAGTTTGCCCTTTTAATAAACATTTTTGTCAACAACTACGTTAATATTCTATTATAAACAACGCCATGTGCCATTTAACAATACTTATATAACGCCTTAAACACCACTTATAATTACTATCGAAACCTATTTCTATATATGGCAATGAAACAATTAAGTCTCAAACATGATTTATAAGACAATAATGAAGTACACTTCTATATTCTGATAGGTAGGTGATAACTGCAAAGCTTTCGAATCACACAAATGAACCATAAATGGCCTTTTTTTTTGCGATGTTTGAGTATTGTCTCATACAGTTATTTGTCATTTGTTGTTGTTCCTTTTGACAATAGATGTTGTAAGTAAAATAACAATGGGCTCTATACTAATACGGTATGTATTGTGTAATCACTGAGAAGATATCGCGTTGTTTTATTCACGATAATAGAGAGTTTTCCTAAAAAAAATGGTCAATAGAATTCAAATGTTAGCTGAACATTACCCAATTATGGCCACGAGTTTTTCACAAAGCCCGATTGAAAATATCATTTCTAGTGTAACAAACACGTTACACTTACAAAGGTGCAGAGTATATCTAATACAGTTGAATATTAGGTGTGCAATAATAAAGAGATGTGACAGGATTCATCATAAAGTGTACACACAATGTAGTAATGTAGACAAAGAATTCAGGCAACACTTTCACAACATATTTATAAATCATTACATCAGAATACGTGACCAGGAATGTCCCAGGAAACATATTCCCATTGAACATCAACACGAGAATGTTTAACAATACCGTCCGTAACGGTAGCCATGACGATAGTGACGTCATTGGCCAAGACCAGACTAAGTGCGGTGTATACAAAGATCATTTCTGCGTGTATACAAAGATCATTTCAACCTTCGGCCGACGAAATCTTTCTGAAATACACATATCTATCCCAGCACTACCTTAACTCTTCGGCGTTCAAGAACCGACCTTCGGCTACCTGACTGTTTAATCCAATCCCTCTTAACTTGCATGCTTTATTGCACGTTCATATTGCATAGGCCGCACGTGAAATTGGACAAGTTTCTATTTACATGACAGATGTAAGAATACAACGTGTAAAATGCATGATACCAAGTACCCAGTATACTGAAATAGCCGCCATAAGTTAAATATATACAAGCCATTTAAAAACACATTGAGCAAGCAGGCTTTTTTCTGTAGCCATTTGATAACATTGCGATATGATAGTAATTTTTAAGACCAGTATATTTAAATGTAAATAAACAGCGCAATTAATGGAAGTGAATAAATAAAATAAAGAAACAACATGTTGATGTTGAAATTACACCAATTTGAAAAACACCATATATAACATGTATGTATATTGTAGGTAATATCTACAATCCATTGAAAATGGTACACTTACACTCTATAGGGTCGTACGCTGTTTACTGTACATCTGTAAGTTTCTGCGTGGTATATGATAATATACATTGTATATGGTTGTATAGCTGTTACATGTTGTAAATTGTATGTAAGATTATAATTGTTATATTGTATACTTGTTGCGGTGCATGGAATGGTATATACTTGTTATATTTATATGGTTGCATAACTTTTACATGACATATAATTGTATAAATGTTAAATGTAAATTGCATATGGTTGTATATATGTTACAATGTATCATTACATAATCAATACTTTGCACGAGTAAAAATAACATTACATAACCTTTCACTTTATTTTCGCATCCAAAATGGTGGAGTATATGTATCAGATCACAGCGAATCAACGCCTGTCACCAAACTGTACACCACTCTACCGTCTGTCACCATATTGTACACCACTCTACCGTCTGTCACCATATTGTACACCACTCTACCGTCTGTCATCATATTGTACACAACTCTACCGTCTGTCACCATATTGTACACCACTCTACCGTCTGTCACACATATTGTACACCACTCTACCGTCTGTCACCATATTGTACACCACTCTACCGTCTGTCATCATATTGTACACAACTCTACCGTCTATCACCATATTGTACACCTCTCTACCGTCTGTCACCATATTGTACACCACTCTACCGTCTGTCATCATATTGTACACAACTCTACCGTCTGTCACCATATTGTACACCACTCTACCGTCTGTCACACATATTGTACACCACTCTACCGTCTGTTAACATATTGTACACCACTCTACCGTCTTTCACCATATTGTACACCACTCTACCGTCTGTTAACATATTGTACACCACTCTACCGTCTGTCACACATATTGTACACCACTCTACCGTCTATCACCATATTGTACACCACTCTACCGTCTGTCACACATATTGTACACCACTCTACCGTCTGTTAACATATTGTACACCACTCTACCGTCTTTCACCATATTGTACACCACTCTACCGTCTGTCACACATATTGTACACCACTCTACCGTCTGTTAACATATTGTACACCACTCTACCGTCTGTCACCATATTGTACACCACTCTACCGTCTGTCACCATATTGTACACCACTCTAACGTCTGTCATCACCATATTGTACACCACTCTACCGTCTGTCACCATATTGTACACCACTCTACCGTCTGTCACCATATTGTACACCACTCTACCGTCTGTCACACATATTGTACACCACTCTACCGTCTGTCACCATATTGTACACCACTCTACCGTCTGTCACCATATTGTACACACTCTACCTCTGTCACCATATTGTACACCACTCTACCGTCTGTCACCATATTGTACACCACTCTACCGTCTATCACCATATTGTACACCACTCTACCGTCTGTCACCATATTGTACACCACTCTACCGTCTGTCACCATATTGTACACCACTCTACCGTCTGTCACACATATTGTACACCACCGTCTGTACACATATTGTCTACCGTCTTAACATATTGTACACCGCTCTACCGCCTGTCACCATATTGTATACCACTCTACCGTCTATCACCATATTGTACACCACTATACCGTCTGTCATCATATTGTACACCACTCTACCGTCTGTCACCATATTGTACACCGCTCTACCGCCTGTCACCATATTGTACACCACTCTACCGTCTGTCACCATATTGTACACCACTCTACCGTCTATCACCATATTGTACACCACTCTAACGTCTGTCATCATATTGTACACCACTCTACCGTCTGTCACCATATTGTACACCACTCTACTGCCTGTCACCATATTGTACACCACTCTACCGTCTGTCACCATATTGTACACCACTCTACTGCCTGTCACCATATTGTACACCACTCTACCGTCTATCACCATATTGTACACCACTCTACCGTCTATCACCATATTGTACACCACTCTACCGTCTATCACCATATTGTACACCACTCTACCGTCTGTCATCATATTGTACACCACTCTACAGTCTGTCACTATATTGTACACCACTCTAACATCAATCACCAAACTGTACACCACTCTACCGTCTGTCACCATATTGTACACCACTCTACCGTCTATCACCATATTGTACACCACTCTACCGTCTGTCACCATATTGTACACCACTCTACCGTCTATCACCATATTGTACACCACTCTACCGTCTGTCACCATATTGTACACCACTCTACCGTCTGTCACCATATTGTACACCACTCTACCGTCTATCACCATATTGTACACCACTCTACCGTCTGTCACCATATTGTACACCACTCTACCGTCTGTCACCATATTGTACACCACTCTACTGCTTGTCACCAAACTGTAAACCACTCTAACATATATCTCAAAACTGTACACTACTCTACCGTCTGTCACCATATTGTACACCACTCTACCTTCTGTCACCATTTTGTACACCACCCTACCGTCTATCACCATATTGTACACCACTCTACCGTCTGTCACCATATTGTTCACGACTCAATCGTTTGTTCCTAAATCGCACATCCTTACTATATATTGCATCATACTACCTTCTGATATACCGTACAAATATACACAATCTGTTCTTTCTTTACCATAACAATGTTCTCACGGTTTGTCGTGTTACTGTGATATTGATCGCACGGTTTGTCGTGTTACTGTGATAATGATCGCACGGTTTGTCGTGTTACTGTGATATTGATCGCACGGTTTGTCGTGTTACTGTGATAATGATCGCACGGTTTGTCGTGTTACTGTGATAGTGATCGCACGGTTTGTCGTGTTACTGTGATAATGATCGCACGGTTTGTCGTGTTACTGTGATATTGATCGCACGGTTTGTCGTGTTACTGTGATATTGATCGCACGGTTTGTCGTGTTACTGTGATATTGATCGCACGGTTTGTCGTGTTACTGTGATAATGATCGCACGGTTTGTCGTGTTACAGTAAAGTACACACACATAAGACTATTAACTATCTTTAAGAAGTGGTATACGATAATTATACAGTAGCAATTTTTGATGTATTGTTCAATTTCATTGAGGTAACCATGAATTATTTGTTTGGGAACATGGACAAAGTTTTGGTTCGCAATTGTTACATGAATAAGACAGATGACATTAGTAGTATATTGGGACAGTAAAATAATTTGGTTTAGAAGTTGGAGCACCTGTGCTGCGGTTTTTGTATAGTGTTACTCTGAAACACACACACATATATATCTGTACGTAAACCAGGATCAGGTTAATTTATTGCCTATCAGACATTTGTAACTGTTATAATTTTACAGGGTTTTGCTATCGTTCACCAACATCCTTTTGTCTCTCTACCGTGTTATGTGATGATGCATTTTGTTTTCGGCTTAAGTTTGTACATGTTCAACACTTTTCCTTTATTCTATATATAGATATCAGTTCATTTACAATGAAATGACTTTTTTGTGTGTTTTGATATCACAGCGGAAGTCTTTCAAAAGGAATTTTGTCAGGACCTTTGTAACACCATCTTGCTATAATGTATTTTATGTAATATCATCTTATTAAAGTGTATTTTTGTAACACTAATGATCATGAGTATTTCTTGTTATATTACTATATCATAACGCACGTTTTGTAATTAATTGCTTAAATGTATTTTTTGTAATATCTTATAATAATATATTTATAATTCATTTGTCTAAAAACATTTTTTTAGACATCCATAATATCATTTTACTATTATGGATGTTTCACAATATTATTTTACTATAGTGTATTTTTGTAATGTAATTTAACTATAGGGTATTTTTGTAATTTAACTATAGTAATTTAACTATAGTGTATTTTTGTAATTTAACTATAGTGTATTTTTGTAATTTAACTATAGTGTATTTTTGTAATTTAACTATAGTGTATTTTTTGTAATGTAATTTAACTATAGGGTATTTTTGTAATTTAACTATAGTGTATTTTTGTAATTTAACTATAGTGTATTTTTGTAATTTAACTATAGTGTATTTTTTGTAATGTAATTTAACTTTAGGGTGTTTTTGTAATTTAACTATAGTGTATTTTTGTAATTTAACTATAGTGTATTTTTGTAATTTAACTATAGTGTATTTTTGTAATGTAATTTAACTATAGTGTATTTTTGTAATTTAACTATAGTGTATTTTTTGTAATTTAACTATAGTGTATTTTTTGTAATGTAATTTAACTATAGTGTATTTTTGTAATGTAATTTAACTATAGTGTATTTTTGTAATGTAATTTAACTATAGTGTATTTTTGTAATGTAATTTAACTATAGTGTATTTCTGTAATGTAATTTAACTATAGTGTATTTCTGTAATGTAATTTAATTATAGTGTATTTTTGTAATGTAATTTAACTATAGTGTATTTTTGTAATGTAATTTAACTATAGTGTATTTTTGTAATGTAATTTAACTATAGTGTATTTTTTGTAATATCGTTTGACCGTAAAGTGTTTTTGTGATATTATTTTATCATACATATTTTACGTTATGATATATTCTAGTGTATTTGTTGGTGATATCATGTTACTGTATTTTTTGTACTACTATTTTATAATTACACGTTATTTGTAATATCATTTTATTATAGTGTATTTTATAAAGAAATGTTTCTCTAAGTATTTTTTGTAATATCCATTAACTATATTTCTCAGGGTAATGGATATTTTACTATTATGTATTTTGTAATTTTATTTTACTGAAATATATTGTTTTGTAATATCATTTTAAATGATGTATTTTTTTATTTATTCCGTGTATTATTTTTTTACTCTAGTGTATTATTTGTAATATTACATATTATATCTTTATACTACTATTTTACTATGATTTATGCTATGTTACATTTTTTACCAGAATATATTTTATTTATTTTTTCTTATTCTGCATTTTGTATATCTTCCCTCCTCCCGCTAAAACACTTTGCGGTTTTGCTTTCCTCTAAAGTTGAAACTCCAGCTTTTCTGTTAACCCATTGCTATACTTTGAACTTTTCGTGTTTCTAGCTTTACTCCTGTAAGGATGTTACTTAAATGCATGATTACAATCAATGGCATAAACAGATATCTATACTGAAAATCTAGTGTTTGAGTCCGTTTTCCTCTTGGTCCTTTCCGCTAATATAGCGTTCCTAATTACCAACGAGAATTATTTTTACATGTATTATTCTGATTAACCATGTTAACCGGCAGTTATAGTCTATCGTTCTACATTCTTTGGTATCTAGTCACGAGAGTTTTATTTAGATGATATTGAATCACTATGATATCTAATGAAGATAAATGGATCCATCACAAACGTATGTGACGTCATTTTTTCTATAAGGTAATCATAAAATAACAAAGCGTTTTCTCATCCGAAAAACAGGACTTTGATCACAAACAAATGTTAAAATAAAAAAGATACACATATTCAAAACATTATTTCAAATATCGCATTCCTGAGAAATATTGACAAAAACATAATGAATTTGTACAATTCTTGCAAGCATACTCTATTTTCGGGTACTTACATTGCTGATAAATACACAATACATACCAGGAACAACCATCACAGAACACTGAGCTAAATAGTTTATATCATCGGCAACTTTCAGAGCTAAGTAGCATCATCGGCGACAGCCGGCGCTAGTTAGCATCATCAGCAAATACCAGAGCTAATTACACCGTAACATCATTGACAACTATTAGCGTTAGTTTACATTCAGGGCAAATATCAGAGCTAGTTAATATTGTAGGCAAATATCAGCGCTAGTTAACACCATGGGCAAATAACGGCGCTGGTTAATATTATAAGTAGATATCAGCGCTAGTTAACACCATAGGCAAATATCGGCGCTAGTTAATATTTTAAGTAGATATCAGCGCTAGTTAACACCATGGGCAAATATCGGCGCTAGTTAATATTATAGGTAGATATCAGCGCTAGTTAACACCATGGGCAAATATCGGCGCTAGTTAATACCATGGGCAAATATCGGCGCTAGTTAACACCATGGGCAAATATCGGCGCTAGATAATACCATGGGCAAATATCGGCGCTAGTTAACACCACGGGCAAATATCAGCGCTAGTTAACACAATGGGCAAATATCAGCGCTAGTTAACACCATGGGCAAATATCAGCGCTAGTTAACACCATGGGCAAATATCAGCGCTAGTTAACACCATGGGCAAATATAAGCGCTAGTTAACACCATGGGCAAATATCAGCGCTAGTTAACACCATGGGCAAATATCAGCGCTAGTTAACACCATGGGCAAATATCGGCGCTAGTTAACACCATGGGAAAATATCAGCGCTAGTTTACATTATTGGCAAATGTCATAGTTAATTAACACAATCTGGAATTATCAGTGCTAGTTTACATCACGGGATACTACCAGTGCTAGTTTATATCACTGGAAACTATCAGCGCTACTTTACATCACGGGATACTCTCAGCGCTAGTTTACATCACGGGATACTATCAGCGCTAGTTTACATCACGGCAAACTACCAGTGCTAGTTTACATCATCGGAAATTATCAGTGCTAGTTTACATCACGGGATACTCTCAGCGCTAGTTTACATCACGGGAAACTACCAGTGCTCGTTTACATCACGGGATACTCTCAGCGCTAGTTTACATCAAGGGATACTATCAGCACTACTTTACATCACGGGATACTCTCAGCGCTAGTTTACATCACGGGATACTATCAGTGCTAGTTTACATCACTAGATACTATCAGTGTAAGTTTACATCACGGCAGACTACCAGCATAATGTACATCACGGCAAACTACCAGTGCTAGTTTACATCACAGGATACTCTCAGCGCTAGTTTACATCAAGGAATACTATCAACGCTAGTTTACATCACGGGATACTATCAGTGCTAGTTTACATCACGGGATACTATCAGTGCTAGTTTACATCACTAGATACTATCAGTGCTAGTTTACATCACGGGATACTCTCAGCGCTAGTTTACATCAAGGGATACTATCAGCGCTAGTTTACATCACTAGATACTATCAGTGCTAGTTTACATCACGGCAAACTACCAGTGCTAGTTTGAATCACGGGAAACTATCAGTGCTAGTTTACATCACGGGAAACGATAAGGGCTAGTTTACATCACGGGAAACGATAAGGGCTAGTTTACATCACGGGAAACTACCAGTGCTAGTTTACATCACGGGAAACTACCAGTGCTAGTTTACATCACGGGATACTATCAGTGCTAGTTTACATCACGGGAAACGATAAAGGCTAGTTTACATCACGGCACACAGCCAGTGCGAGTTTACATCACGGGATACTTTCAGCGCTAGTTTACATCACGGGAAACTACCAGTGCTAGTTTACATCACGGCACACAGCCAGTGCGAGTTTACATCACGGGATACTTTCAGCGCTAGTTTACATCACGGGAAACGATTCTGCTAGTTTACATCACGGGAAAAGATCAGCGCTAGTTTACATCACGGCACACTGCCTGTGCTAGTTTACATCACGGGAAACTACAAGTGCTCGTTTACATGACGGCAAACTACCAGTGCTAGTTTACATCACGGGATACTATCAGTGCTAGTTTACATCATCGACAGCTATCAGTGATTCATTACATACATCATCTGACACTGTGTCTCCTACTCTACCTCATTTTTACTATTCAAAGTTTGTCAATACGATGATTATATTAATATTGCTCTAACAATGATCTAAAAGAACCACGATGAATACCGAAGCGGTTTGGTCCTCTTTCCTTGTCAATTATCCTGCTTCTACCTAACGACTTATTAAATCGGTGGAGGGTTCTGATATTATTAAAAATGACAGTGTCGGATTCTTAACGAGCTGAACACATCAACGATATAATGGTTGACCATATCAATACACAGAAAATGGCATCACATCAATAATCGTTCCCCGAAATCTCCACACTCTTTAAATTTCGATGTAATCTTTCGCTTTGAGCTACATTTGGGGCTAGATTTCCCTTCCTCTGTAACCTTTAGGTCGCTTTGTAGCTGTGTCACAGAGTACTGAATAGAACCTGTTACGTGGAGAGCTATGGAACCAGATAATTACACATTGTAAACAGCGATGATTCAGTAACGTCCAAACACAAAATAGATCACCACATTCACAATTTGTGCGGAGGGAATCCTTGTTTCGATGCCCAGCAAATATTTTACTCCATTAGATTATGAAAGTAAACCCCTGGTTTTTGCAATACATATCGGATGCTACAAAATTGTTTCACCGGCATAAGCGACCCCATCATCGGAACGCGCTTTATCGCTGTTTGCTCTATGCAGGTCGAACTCGGAATTCCGAATGACTACATCGTTAAGTGATGTAGCCTCGGCCAGCTTTTGGAAATGCTTATACTTGGGTGATTTCCTTCCTGGAAAGTTCCTGAGCGTAGCATGACCATTCATGTATGTTTCAATGACAGAACCGTTGGACGGCTTTCTCTTCTCCTCCAGCAATGAGATGGTCCCGTACCCGTCCTCCTCAGAATGGCTGATCACGGTATCCTCTCGGAAAGGGTTATTCACGCACGTGCTCATGCTGTTTCTGTACCTGTCGCGCTCTTCTTCCTTTGTTCCACGTGATCGCACGTGCGTGTAGAAAAGTGTGAAGTTGTTTGATATAACAGGAATGGTAAGTGCTATCATTAATACACCACTCACGGCACAAGCGGCCCCTACAACGTATCCGATTGGTTTAGTAGGAAATACGTCACCGTACCCTACCGTAGTCATAGTGATAAGCGCCCACCAAAATCCCATTGGAATTGTGTTGAACGTATCGCTTGGTTGAACAGCGTCCTTTCGTTCTGCATAGTAAATCATGGATGCAAATACAAGCATGCCGATGATGAGAAAGATAGCCAGCATGAGCAGCTCCTGGACACTGGCCTTGAGGGCATAAACTAATATCTTCAGCGCCTGGTAGTGTTTTACAAGATGCATGATTCTGAACATTCGCACTATTCTTAGCAAAAACATTATTTCTATCACAAGACGTCCGTTTACATAGCATGAATTTAAATCTTCAGTGTTGAATATAAGAAGTTGCATGTACAACGGAACTAACGCTAACAAATCTATGATATTCATCATAGAACGAACAAACTTTATTTTTTCAGGAGCGAAAAAGAATCTGACCGCCAATTCGATGGTAAAGTAGACAGTACAGATGATATCAAGAATGTTGAGGGCTTCATTCTGGGTCATCGCCTGTGCAGAACCCTCGCATCCGCCTGTTGTATTGGTAGAACGAGTGGTGTTTCCCACGGGCTTTTGCAGCATAGGAAGGGATTCAAGGCAGAAGCCGAGGATGGAAACAACCACAAACAACAGCGAAACAACGCCGTAAATCTGTAAAACAAACAGCGTACAATTAAACAGGATACAATCAAACAGGGTACAATTAAACAGGATACAATTAAACAGGATACAATTAAACAGGGTAAAATCAAACAGGGTACAATCAAACAGGGTACAATCAAACAGGGTACAATTAAACAGAGCACAATTAAACAGGGTAAAATCAAACAGGGTACAATTATACAGGGTACAATCAAACAGGGTACAATCAAACAGGGTACAATCACACAGGGTACAATTAAACAGTTTACAATCAAACTAAGTACAATTAAACAGGCTACAAACTAAAAGGGTCCACTCAAACAGGGTACAATCAAACAGGGTACAATCAAACAGGGTACAATTAAGCAGGGTACAATCACACAGGGTACAATTAAACAGGGTACAGTTAAACATAGTGCAATTAAACAGGATACAATTAAACATAGTGTAATTAAACAGGGTACAATCACACAGGTTACAATTAAACAGGGTACAATTAAACAGGATACAATTAAACACGGTACTATCAAAAAGGGTACAATTAAATATAGTACAATCAAACAGGGTGCAATTAAACAGGGTACTATCAAAAAGGGTACAATTAAACAGGGTACTATCAAAAAGGGTACAATTAAACATAGTACAATCTAACAGGGTACAATTAAACAGTTTACAATCAAACTAGGTACAATTAAACAGGGTACAAACTAAAAGGGTACATTCAAACAGAGTACAATTAAACAGGGTACAATCAAACAGGGTACAATTAAACAGGGTACAATAACACAGGGTACAATCAAACAGGGTACAATCAAACATGGTACAATTAAACAGAGCACAATCACACAGGGTACAATTAAACAGGGTACAATTAAACAGGGTACAATCACACATGGTACAATTAAACAGGGTACAATAACACAGGGTACAATTTAACAGGGTACAATTAAACAGGGTACAATCAAACAGGGTAAAATTAAACAGGGTACAATCAAACAGGGTACAATCACACAAGGTACAATTAAACAGGGTACAAACTAAAAGAGTACAATCACACATGGTACAATTAAACAGGGTACAATAACACAGGGTACAATTTAACAGGGTACAATCACACAGGGTACAATCACACAGGGTACAATTAAACAGGGTACAATAACACAGGGTACAATTAAACAGGGTACAATCAAACAGGGTACAATCACACAGGGTAAAATTAAACAGGGTACAATCAAACAGGGTACAATTAAACAGGGTACAATCAAACAGGGTACAATCAAACATGGTACAATTAAACAGAGCACAATCACACAGGGTACAATTAAACAGTTTACAATCAAACTAAGTACAATTAAACAGGGTACAAACTAAAAGGGTACATTCAAACAGAGTACAATTAAACAGGGTACAATCAAACAGGGTACAATTAAACAGGGTACAATCACACAGGGTACAATCAAACAGGGTACAATCACACAAGGTACAATTAAACAGGGTACAATCAAACAGGGTACAATTAAACAGTTTACAATCAAACAGGGTACAATCACACAGGGTAAAATTAAACAGGGTACAATCAAACAGGGTACAATTAAACAGGGTACAATTAAACAGGGTACAATCAAACAGGGTACAATTAAACAGGGTACAATCAAACAGGGTACAATTAAACAGTTTACAATCAAACTAGGTACAATTAAATAGGGTACAATCACACAGGGTACAATTTAACAGGGTACAATTAAACAGGGTACAATCAAACAGGGTAAAATTAAACAGGGTACAATCAAACAGGGTACAATCACACAGGGTACAATTAAACAGGGTACAAACTAAAAGAGTACAATCACACATGGTACAATTAAACAGAGCACAATCACACAGGGTACAATCACACAGGGTACAATCAAACAGGGTAAAATTAAACAGGGTACAATCAAACAGGGTACAATCACACAGGGTAAAATTAAACAGGGTACAATCAAACAGGGTACAATTAAACAGGGTACAAACTAAAAGAGTACAATCACACATGATACAATTAAACAGGGAGCAAACTAAAAGGGTACATTCAAACAGAGTACAATTAAATAGGGTACAATCAAACAGGGTACAATTAAACAGGGTACAATCACACAGGGTACAATCAAACAGGGTACAATCACACAGGGTAAAATTTAACAGGGTACAATTAAACAAGGTACAATCACACAGGGTACAATTAAACAGGGTACAATCAAACAGGGTACAATCACACAGGGTAAAATCAAACATGGTACAATTAAACAGGGTACAATCAAACATGGTACAATTAAACAGAGCACAATCACACAGGGTACAATTAAACAAGGTACAATCACACAGGGTACAATCAAACAGGGTAAAATTAAACAGGGTACAATCAAACAGGGTACAATCACACATGGTACAATTAAACAGGGTACAATTAAACAGGGTACAATCACACAGGGTACAATCAAACAGGGTAAAATTAAACAGGGTACAATCAAACAGGGTACAATCACACAGGGTAAAATTAAACAGGGTACAATCAAACAGGGTACAATCACACAGGGTAAAATTAAACAGGGTACAATCAAACAGGGTACAATTAAACAGGGTACAATCAAACAGGGTACAATTAAACAGGGTACAAGTAAATAAGGTATAATCAAAGAATTTCTAATAATCATTTGCATTAAACAGCTATTACGTATCATGAGCTCATCACAAAGATATCTCTATACAATAACATCTCATTAACACATTTTTTTTCCAAATTATAGCTCACTCTTCATAAGCGTGCGTGTTACTGAATGTATTCTACGTCTCCGGTGTGTTTCATCGTAAGGGAAAACTCACTCATGAAAACATCACCTCTATATCAGTTACATCAATCTCACTCACCATTGCAACTCTTGATGTCCTCGGGTGCTCCAGTATCATCCATATTTTCATCTGAAAACGTTTCCATCCAATATAATCGTCTATATTTATATGTACTCTTTCCTTTTCCAGACTACGGTTGAAGGAGTCGAGTATGGCTTTGTTCTCAATGTAGGAACGGTAATGTCGCCAACAACAAGATTTGATGCAGTATTGGTTTACGTGCCAGTAGTCCAACTCTCGCTTCACCACAGCTCCACATACTTCTAACGGAACGTGAAGTTCTCCTGAAACGACAGAATACATTCTCGGCGTATAGGATGAAATGTCAGAACAATTCCCGAAGCCAGTGTTTAATAGTTGGAAAGAAACTTTACCATGATTTGTTAAAATATAGACTTAATGCTTACAATCTAAGCTAAAAATATCTGCCGTGGGGGGATTTCCTTGCCTTGCCGTAAATTAGGTTGTCATTTTGTTTTGTACGGTAACATAGAATGAATTGCACAAAATGAACACAATTTCTATCATTTGAAGTATAAAGATGGATTCAAGCGATATTCCACACAAGTTGTGATTTCATAAGATTCTTTTGAAGAAAATGTACAAATGTATCAGCTTTGTTCTGATAGAAATCGTTCACCTCATTTTAACATTTAGACTTATGATACATTATTTGAGGAGATATTAATAGATCTAGCTAGATCCATGTACCAACGTTCGCGCGGCCATGATTGCGTCATAAAAGGTTTGAGATATTAACCGAACAGAATGAAATATTTGTGTAGATTATAAGAACAACAGAAAAAAAGTCTAATGAAGTAATGATATTGTAATCCCAACGGAAATTTTAGTGAAGAACATACACACTTGTGTATTTTTTTAAAAAATCAAATGATTCGTCAGTTCCGGATTTCCTGACGCGGTGTATTTAAACGGGTAAATCGTATTGGTTTGGAATCTTCTCGCCAATTTCACCTGACCATAGGAGAGATAGTTGGATGTAAAAGTCATTAGAATGAGTACAAAACAGCTAGAATTTTGGCAATTTGGGTGAAATATCCATTTAACTGCATCATACTGCTATTCCCTTGTAACATGTGAACTGCTGAAGTTCGGAAATTGACAATCGACCTAAGGAAATGTAGGATTGATCCAATAAATCATGTAAACATAGGCAGGATCACGACAAATTTCAGGGCTCGCCAGCAGAACGAATTTCTTGTGATATAAAAAGATTGCAGAAAAGTCAAAGGAAAAATCTTTCTACAAGGTTAATGATGCATTTAACTTATGCAAGGGAAGTAACTGCGATATAAAGTCAACACCGTTTGACGAAGATTGCCGTGAAGACTGGCCACATATCCATGGTTATACAATCACAAAGTGTTAGAAACCATGATGATATTTAAGAACTTTAAAACACAAAAATACACATGGTCATTTAACGTGAATATTTTATTCTTCAATGTGGATTTAAACATTGTCTGCCATTGCCAAACAAAACAAAACATTAGACAATAAAAGTGTGTTTATAAATATGTGAATGATGAAAAAGCAGACGACATGTCTTCTGAGACAAAGTGTTAATATTCTGTAGTAAGACATGCGATGCATGCATGACGTATTATACTTCGGTGAAGAAGCAGACGACACCAGAGTGATGCACTACAGATGAAAAACATGACGCATTGCTAATACTACGGTGAAGTATGGCGTTCTCCGCCATTGATCATCGTGAGAGGCATACCTGCGAGACGTAGGTTTGGTAAAAATGAACTCTGAAGACGATGTCATCAGGAATCTGTCTGGAATAAAGAACACTACATACACACCATAATGCCATATCATATCGGAGTGAAAAATCAACACTCCCGTAAGATGTTGATGTTTGTTAAGTGTGAAGTAGAAACTTCTCATCAACGATGGCCCGTTAAATGAATTCTTAAAAATAATGCCTGGTGCAAAATCTATGTGTAAATATCAAAATTACAGACAACTCGATTTTTGTTATACGTGAGAAAACAAAACTTATCCTTATTTTCCCCCAATAATACACAGCGGATATCTGTATATTTAATCTACTACACCGGTCAACTAGCTGAAGTTCAGGCCAACTACGGACTCTTTCACATAAAGTCTGTTACCCAGTATATTATATAATGTCCTGTACCTATTACCCAGTATACTATATAATGTCCTGTACGCTGTACTTTATATTACAAAGTCTATTACACAGTATATCATATAATGTCCTGTACGCTGTACTTTATATTACAAAATCTATTACACAGTATATTATATAATGTCCTGTACGCTGTACTTTATATGACAAAGTCTGTTACTTTGTACTTTTGCAAATTTTTCCCGTGAAATATAGGAATTGTATTATATGATATAAGAAATCTCAAATCTTATAGCTTTTGCCATTATGATATAACTTTTTGTAGTTCTGAGTCATTAGTGCGGTTCTTTCAAGTCGTTGCGTTGAAATATGCCGTATTTTTTCTGTTTGAATGCAAATGAAACGAACATTTCCTACAATTTTTTAAATACTGGGTTATTTTATTTGTTGATCCTTTCTTCTTCCTTCTTCTCCTTCTTCTTCTTCTACTTCTTCTTCCTTCTTCTCCTTCTACTTCTTCTTCCTTCTTCTTCTTCTTCTTCTTCTTCTTCTCCTTCTTTGTGATTTTAAAAGAAAGAAAAGATATTGTTCTCCGTTAAATATCCCATGCAATGTATACCTATATTTCATCATATTTTTTGCCAGAGAAATATTGGAATTTATCCATTTGATAACGCCACTGCAGCGATGATTCAACCTGTCATGTGATGGTATGAATTTCATAGTATGGACTAACCAGAGCGTTGCTTTGTGATCATGGCACTGAAATTTGCTGACTTTCCGCCATTGAAGGGAAGGTTGAATAAGTTGGTGTTCCCGTGTGTATTTCTGGTTTCCTTAGATTCGGTTTTTTAAAACAGTTATATATGAGATTCTCACCAGATAATAGCGTAAAATGTTACATCACAATGTGAAATAGCTCAATCAAAATGGCGCTGTCTTGTTGTAAAGTGTAACGTCAACTATCTGACGTCACAGAACGCGCTGATATTTCCCAAACATTTTTTGCACATCCGCTTCATCTCTCGCTTACACCGACTGTTTCCTTTTCCCTGTAATTAATTCTTAATTGTTCGTTGTTTTTACGCAAAATGCAGCTTTCTGGTTGGTCGTTTTTTTTCTTTTCATTTTTCGAAGAAAAAAACACACAAAAAACAAAGAAAAAATCTAGCTCCGTCCACTTAATGATAATTGGAGAAGTGACTGGTAAGACAACACCTTCCGGTGGGTCTGTTGAAATTTCTTTATCTGTATGAATGGAAGATCTGTTTACGCATTGACCCGGTGTGTGGATCGCTGTTATTCAACGATGTAAACAAAAACAAAACAATCAAAATAAAACAGGACTACATCAGAGTTTTCAAATATCTTTTGTCACGTTCCGGAATGTGACAGGCCCATGAATGAATAACTGAAATGGCGCTGTCAATGACGTCACGCAAGCTGTTATGCGTTGTGATTTCTTGAATTATCAGATTCATACATCTTACATGCTATTATTTTTTTAACATATCGAAGAAATTCATCGTAAGTTTTGAACAGTTTCATGTTGGTATGTAAGAAAAACCTATTTGCAAACTTATCATGAATGAGGTACGCGCACGCGCATTTCATTCAGATGGCAAATATGGTTTTCTTCAATGCCAGCATGAAACTAAACATATTTCAATCAGACCGTAATCAGTACTCTAATGAAGAGGAAAATATGATGGTTCCGCCATCTTGGTCAAATTTTGACCGAAACGACACCGATTGGTCAACTTATTTTTCTACTAGTAGAATTAAAACAGCCTATTCAAAATTGTTGCGTGCTGATATGAAGCGCAGCGCCAAACTGACATCAAAAACCGTGCAAATATCTCCCAAAGTTTTTTGAACACCTCATATAACAGAGCGTTGACATATATATGTATATATGTGTTTTTTCTAGTGTATCGCTCACTTGAAAAATAAACACACTCTGATAAAAAGATACATCTATTATGTCTATCAGAAAACAACATATCCAATGATGTCCAGTACCAAGTACATTATATTACAGAATGTCCAGTACCCAGTACATTATATTATATAATGTCCAGTACCCTGTACATTATATTACAGAATGTCCAGTACCCTGTACATTATATTACAGAATGTCCAATACCCAGTACATTATATTACAGAATGTCCAGTACCCTGTACATTATATTACAGAATGTCCAGTACCCTGTACATTATATTACAGAATGTACAGTACTATGTACATTATATTACAGAATGTCCAGTACCCAGTACATTATATTACAGAATGTCCAGTACCCAGTACATTATATTACAGAATGTCCAGTACCCTGTACATTATATTATAGAATGTCCAGTATCCTGTACATTATATTATAGAATGTCCAGTATCCTGTACATTATATTATAGAATGTCCAGTACACTGTACATTATATTATAGAATGTCCAATACCCAGTACATTATATTATAGAATGTCCAGTACCCTGTACATTATATTATAGAATGTCCAGTACCCTGTACATTATATTACAGAATGTCCAGTACCCAGTACATTATATTATAGAATGTCCAGTACCCTGTACATTATATTATAGAATGTCCAGTACCCTGTACATTATATTATAGAATGTCCAATACCCAGTACATTATATTATAGAATATCCAGTACCCAGTACATTATATTATAGAAAGTCCAGTATCCTGTACATTATATTATAGAATGTCCAGTACCCTGTACATTATATTACAGAATGTCCAGTACCCTGTACATTATATTACAGAATGTCCAGTACCCAGTACAATATATTACAGAATGTCCAGTACCCAGTACATTATATCATATATGATTCAGTACTTAGTATTGTATATTAATCAAAGGTTAAATAATTAAAAACAACTAAATATTTAAGATTTATCTATGGGAGTTGTCTCCCTTCTCCGGATATCACGTCCGTGTTGGTATCATTGTGTATATAAGTGTACTTGGATAAGACTTATATAGGCTGTGACCGGATGTCTTTATGTTAATAAAACGTTCTGACATTGAAATTGTAAATATACATAAATAAACAAAAAGAAAGAACAACAAATCGCGGTGAAAAGAATGTTTTTATCATGCATAATCCATAAGCAAAGATAAATACTTTAAACAGTCGCAATACATGAACACAATATCC